CCATTTCGACAGTCGGGTCTTGCCTGGCAGCGGAGGCTTTGGGGCACGGTGGTCACCAAACTGAAACCAAACCTGCTGAAATTTCCGGCAGGTGGCACGGCACGTGGAGGCTGCTCCAAATCATGGCCCTGAGCCCTTTCTGCGGGCTTCCTTCTGCTAGGTCGGGTCTGCAACTCAACCTCAACCTCAAGTTGTAATAGCTGCAGGCTGCGCATGTAACCTGCAACAACAAATGGTTAAACCGTCCTACGAGTACGCAGAATAACAACATGTTGATGCTATACTAGTGGTACCTGTCAGTGTGCCTATACTGGCTAGTCAGCGGTGCCACACCGTCTGCTTCTGTGGCAAAGGCAAGCAACACTACTGTAGCACATCCTCGATGCTGAATTTCTGCCGCTGCTAAATCATAGGTAGGTTCCTTGACTTGGGTTCCATGGTGGAAAACCATGCAGCTAGTCATCATGCCGTTCCGATATCTCTAGTGGCATGTTCTGGCATTCGAGGCTCTCGGGACATGCCACAGCTTCCGAGGTCCATCATAGAGCTCCAACTCGACTTTCCGTGCGCATCTCTGCCCCCAGCCCTCGATCATGACTTTGAGACCTCTGAGACAAGGCATGCCATCCCCACTCCCTTCTCGAGTCATGAGTCCCGCCATGGGCAAGGCCATCAGCTCCTGACCCCTGCAAGTCGCGCCGAGGTTGCCCTGTCGGTTTTGGAGGAGGATGAACCGGATCATACCTGTGGCGGAAGGTGCGTGTGCAGATGATTTCAGGGTCTTCGGAGGCTCGGGTCAACTTGCACCGGTTCCCGTCTTGATACTGAAGTCAAGTGACATCCTCCTGGAGCTCTTACATCCACATATCCGCCAGACTGGAAACTGGGGACAAAAACAAAAACAACTGCACTTGATGTCACCTCGCTCGATACCCCCTTTTTCGGCAGTGTGTTTGCAGCACACCGCAGGGACTAAGGATCACCTAGGGTTGACTTTTCTCACACTGCTGCCTAGCAGTCCTTAAGACATGGTACAAGTAAGGCCCCAACGTACATGGTTTCGCCCATGCCCGCCCTCATTGCTCCTGGATTCCCCCGTTAAAGCCTGGGTCACACAATCTACGAATGCCTTATAACAGCTTAGCACTGTCTGAAGACTGACTCCCAAATCCCTCGAACGGAACTCTCGGAAGTGTGCTCTAGAAGCCAAGGGGGTCATGTAATAACTTGGTTCATGCACCAGCAACATCACTGTAATCGACAGAGCTGAAAAGAGCCCTCAACTGTTCCAGAGACCCTGCATAAGCGACAGCACCCGAGCGCCTCCTCGCCCTCGCGCAGGCACTCTGCGCGCCGGGGAGCTCTTGAAGCCAGTGGGCATTCGGGAGCAAATGTGAGTGGAGTGACAAGCACAAAAGCGCAGCAAGCACGACGACGCCGAGGATGCTCTCCGGTCACAACAGCAACGACGGTTGCGACAATGAAGCCGATAATGACGCCAAGGATGACGAGAAGCACGACGACAACGACGACGAGAGCTGATCCTGCTCCTGATCCGGCTGCCAAGATTCAGTTCTACTATGAGGACAGCAAGCAGCATCGATCACACACGACGCCGCCACTATGACCACCAAGAGGACGAGGACGAGGACCACGACTAAAGTCCGAACTTCAGAACAAACCGTAATGCTACAGTTGAGGGGCGAAATTGCTGAGAGTCGCTATGCTTCGGGATTTCGATGTCACATGCCGTCGAATTTTAGTTCCGGTTTGTATATACTGCCCGGCCCTCTCAATACAAGCTGTATAACAAAACTGGGTAAGGACGAGTCATCTGCGACGCGGTACGCCAGATGTCAATCAAGAGCCCTGCCCGCACGCTGGATGTTTTGCCTCCGCGCTTCCTGTCTCTTGGCATTCGAGCTGGGCATTGCTGGTAAGTTCGCTGCAAAGTTCCGTCTACCGTGCACGCTTGATCTGATAAGCCAGGGCCTAAACAATCAGAGCAGACTTTTCCGGCACAAACAGACATTTTACGTATTATATATACATATATTATAGAGGGAGAGAGCGGTCGAGAGCAAATTATGTCATTACATTACATTGCATTTATATTCTACTAGATTACCTTTCATTATACTGTATTAGATAAGACATGTTTTGCTTTATATGCATGTATATATATATATACACATACACATACACATACTGGAATTGTATTCGGAACTATGAGGGCAAACTGGTACTAATAGAATAATTATTCCGACTCCTGTATTATAAGTTTGGCTGCCGATATTTTCACTTAGAACGCCTGTGAGCCTTGAATCCGCGTGTTGCCGAACCCCGAGACACATTGAATGATCATAGACGAACTTGATAACTTGTCACGTCTTCGGGCTGAATAGTGCTTCAGGGATAACTTCAGCGCAAAACCTCGCTGCAAGGCCCAGCCTGTGAATGTGCAGCACCAGAAGCGGAACCCCCGTCTACCGAACCCCGGAAATCCTAAATGCGAGCTGTCGTGAGAATCAAGCCGCCCTCCAGCGAAAATCTATTGCGGGGCATGATGACTGAACCAGACATCTGCTAATAAGCTCGTGCTGGTGGCTGTACTAAATGGTTTCTACAAGTGGGCTAATGACAAAGGCAGTGGACGTAGCAGGAGCAAAAGGAGCAGCTGTAGTAGCTGTAGCAGTAGTGGCAGTAGCAATATCAGCAGGAGTAGCACTAGTAGCAGTAGTCGTCGTAGTCGTCGTCGTCGTGGTGGTGGTGGGGGCAGTAGTAGCATGTAGGAGCAGAAGTAGCTGCAGTAGTACTACTACTTTACTAGTTCGGTAGTTTAATAGTTTACTAGTTTGGTCGTCGTCATGGTGGTGGTCGTCGTGGTTGTCGTGGTGGTCGTGATAGTAGTAGTAGTAGTAGTAGTAGTAGTAGTAGAAGTGGGTGGTAGTAGTAGTAATAAAAATAATAACAACTTCAATAGTAGTGGCTAGTAAGTAGCTAGTAGCTACTGGCTAATAGCCTAATAGCTAGCAGCTAGCAGCTAGTAGCAGTAGTAGCAGTAGTAGTAGTAGTAGTAGTAGTAGTAGTAGTAGTAGTGGTAATGGTAGTAGTAGCAGCAGCAGCAGCAGTAGTAGTAGCAGCAGCAGTAGTGGTAGTAGTAGTCGTAGCAGCAGCAGCAGCAGCAGCAGCAGCAGCAGCAGCAGCAGTAGTAGTAGTAGTAGCAGTAGCAGTAGCAGTAGCAGTAGACGTAGCAGTAGCAGCAGTAGTAGTAGTAGTAGTGGTAGAAGTAGTAGTAGTAGTAGTAGTAGTAGTAGTAGCAGTAGTAGTAGTAGTAGGTAGTAGTACAAGCAGTACCAGTAGTACAAGTAGTACAAGTAATAGTATAAGTAGAAGCAGTAGTAGTAGTAGTAGTAGTAGTAGTAGTAGTAGTAGTGGTGGCAGAAGCAGTAGCAGAAGCAGTAGCAGTCGCAGTTGCAGTAGTATAAGTAGAAGTAGAAGTAGAAGTAGTAGGAGTGGTAGTAGTAGTAGTAGTAGTAGTAGTGGTAGTGGTAGTGGTAGTGGTAGTGGTAGAAGAAGTAGCGGTGGTGGTAGTAGTAGTAGTAGTAGTAGTAGTAGTAGTAGTGGTAGTAGTAGTGGTAGTAGTAGTGGGAATGGTGGTAGTGGGAATGGTGGTAGTGGTAGTAATTTTAGTGGTCTTGGTGGTGGCAGTAGTGGTGGTAGTAGCGGTGGTGGTCGTCGTTGTCGTCGTAGCAGTAGTGGTAGCAGCGCAAGCAACGGTACAAGTAGCAGAAGTAGTAGCAGCAGCAACCGTGGTAATAGGAAATGGTGGCAGTGGTAGCTGTAATGCTCGACTGTTGCCGCTGCTGCACGTATATGTTGGTCGTGCTGAAGCACCAAGGTCACCAAGGTAAGTACCAAGATGTCTCTTGCTGCAGCCAAAGTGACGCAGAATGCACTGCACAAGACCCTGGCCCAAATCACGATATAACCGACCAGACAGTCATGGCCACAACGAGTCTAGATGATCTACCCCAGGCATACCCGTGCTTGACCCCGAGGACTCAGAAATTCGAAGCTTCTCTCAGGTCGTCGGGTTGTGAAAGACTCTGATCGACCTGTCAAAAAGTGAGGCGGTTATGTGTGACGTAGTGCAGTATGTCAAAGTTTTGAGATCTTGTTGTCGAGGTCCCCTGAGCTGAAATGAGCGAGGAGGTCAAGCGAGTGCTCGTTGTGACTCTTACCGCGGTCCTGCCAACGCAAGAATATCTTCAACGATTAATTGCGAGAAGCGATGCAGCTGCTCCACGTTTTCAAGCAGCTACATGCTTCTACCGTACGCCGGACTTGGTGGGCGTGTTCGTACAAGTGGCTGCCTTTTCTTCTTGATGAAGTCGGGTGCGCACCATGGTACTTTGACCATTTTTTGACGAGGGGCTGCGGTGCACCTGCCCACATGCTCGGCCTGATGCACTTCACACCCAGACTTCAGTCGCACAACGCTGAGGCTTTCTGCCGAACAGGATTCACCACTGAGCAAAAAGTAAGATACCTAGCTGCGAAGTCTTACTTTCACCATCTGAACTGGAAATCTGTCGCCAAAAAACATCTTGCCCGTGCAGCAGGCCCGCAAGAAAGGGGCGAGGGCCCCAAGGATGTGTAGCCACTTTGAGCCCACTTGGCTTCGTGCCCTACCAGCGCATCATCGGGCATGCGATTATGACAGGACGGCTCCTCCTTGAAAGCCTTGGGGTCCTTCTGTGCATGCAGGATTCAAGATTCTCGGGCTTAAGAGGTGGGTTTGGATGCTTGACTGTCCTCAAAGATCAAAGCACTGTTCAAAATTACAGTACTCATTACTGAAGGCCGTCAAGACAAGGTATGACGTTTTCTTGCCGCATCTCTTTGGAATTCTGGTCTTGTTCTTAGATTCCGTTATCGCCGCAACTGTAAGGTCATACTTTGATTACTTACCGCTACCGACCTTATATTCGGATGTTTTAGGAGCTCTCGTCCCTGCTAGAGCTTGGCTTGATGCCGCTCAACTTTGGGCCGCAGAGACATCGAAGGCAGGAGAGCGCACTGCTCTTCTCCTCGGGTCGGGCTCTTAGTTTGAGTTCGTTTTGGTTTTGCCTGTTGCTTTGTGTTTTTGAGGGTCCTGAGTTCGGGGGTTAAGGATCACTGCTACTACAGAGATGGTCGGCGACCGAAAAAGTTGTCAGCCCCGAAGACACGCAAACGGTTGCAACCCTCCCCGAAGGGTCTGACAGCTAACATCAGCCAGGTGTCTAGGCTCTCATACACGTGATCTGCGGCCATCTGCTGAATTGCGAAACCTTGACAAGTCATGTCTGTTCAAGACAACTTTCAGTTGGGAGTTTCAGGTGCAGGCACTTCAACGTTCAGGGAGCGAGTGCACAACAGCGACTGTCAGGCTCAGGAAGTTCACCCGCTCTACAGTCCAGAGTTTCGAAATGTTTCAACTATAGAATGACAAAACGCACATCACAAAGCTCAACTCCCCCGCATCCAATGTAGCCGTCTGCAATACAGCTTCATACAAACCTTTGCAAATGTTTCTTCCGTTCAGGATTCCGCTCTTTTCTGCTATGTGTCTGCGTCGCCATAGCGATTCTGTATACGAGTCTAGGAATTCGGATATTTCCCGACTGGTCCCGAATACGAGGACCTGTTATTGCGGTTACATCACACAAGACTAATATTGCACTCTCTCTCTCTCTCTATCTATATATATATATATATATACATGTGTATAGAATATGCATATGCAAGCCAGCCAGCTCATGGCAGGGTAGGAGTGGATGCAGGTGGAGACCGATCTCAAGGTCAACCTTCCGCAGAGCAAAACGAAGCGAGGCCGTGGACCTGTTCCTTTCTTCGGTTGGGTGTGGTTCCATCGAAGGGTTGTTTGTTGGTTGTATAAGGGCTCAAAAAGGGTACTACGGTAATAGGAGGGTTTCGATTATAATACCACACAGCGCCGGAGACGATGCGTCATGCGAGGATTGCTTTTCATTGGAAGGCTGGTACGTGCGAGCTGCGAGCATGTGTCATTAAGCGACCGGAACAGAAACAAATTGAAACACATTCCGAGCACTGGGAGAGCGCTCCGAATCAAAACAGGCCCCACGAGGTTTCAAGCTTGAACACTTCTTCACCCATGCCATTCCGAACAAAACCAAGCCAGACCCAGCACATGACTACAATGACCCGTCATGCACCACGACACAGACGTGTGCGCGCATGCAGGATAGATGCGAGTAGTCTTTGTTTGGTGTGATACAATGGGGCATACTCTGCGGCTCATTTGTGCAAACCAGTGGCCTAGTACATCATACGTGTTGCGTATATCTGTGTATGGATGATCAGGATTCGAGGCTGTTTCCAAATTCAATTCTTGGGGAAAGGCAGCGAGGCCTTGCCTCTGTGCCACAGCCAGTCCGAGTTCCTGCGCTACGTCGCCCGCTGCTGGCGCCACCACAGTGGCTCCTGCCGCAATATCTCACGATACCACGAGACTGCTGCAATTGCCACGGCTGAGTCTTGCGGAAGAAACGTTCAACACAAGGATTCGAGATTCGGGCAACGGCCTCCCAAACATACTTGGGTCGTGAAGGCGCGGCACGTGCTGTAAAGCCCTTTTCAAAGGACGCGCACATACGAGCACCTCGTTCCCAACTCCTAAGTCCTGAGTTTGCTCTCATTGCGCTCTCTGGTGAGATTCCCCCCGAAGGTCCGAAGCATTGGAATTTGCAAAACCTCTGGGCCCAACGAACAGACTGCGAGACTCTTCGAGAAGTGCAACCGAGCTACCGAGAATCATGCCACCGCTGCCCACAATGATCTTAATGAAGCCTTCTGTCTCGCCTTCGCCTTAGGCTGCGTGAAACTCCATTACCACCCTCCTCAATGCCGGGAAGTATTTATAATGAATACGTCGGCTCTGACACTGACCTAGTGACCAGGTTCCTCTGTAGCAGCACGGATCGCTTCGCCATGACTTGGCAAACAACACAAACCAAAAGCATGGCCCAGCATGAATAAGGCCAACTTCGCCTTGCACTGATAAGAGAACTGGGATCAGCCGACAATATTAGGAACAACACTAGAAAGACGAGAGCATCAGGTTTTGATTTGGGAAGCGCAACAGCAAGAGCCAGGACTTCTCGGTCACAAAACAAGGCTCCAATTGCTCAGCAGGGGGCAAACTGCGCGGTCAACGTGCGACAGCATGCGCATCTTCGCCTTGGAGGGGCTGTCACAAAGCTATACACGCAAGGCTGTGCACAAGTTTGCAAGCTTGCTGTATGACCTTGCAAGCTCTAGGAATGCCTGATAAACCAGAGAGCAACTGACACAAGCAATCTCATCCGCCAAATCGACATAGCTGAGCTGATGGCCGAGACTTTGTCGATTCCGTGCGCATCTGCCGCCTAATCGCCAGCGAAACAGTGGAATACGCGGAGGCGTTTCAGGCGAGCATTTCACGACGTGCGGACATGCGAAGCAACGCATGACTGGAATGGCCCTCGCGTCAATACGTACGTTTCACTCGTGCACTTGCCTCCTTCATGGTCAAGCCCACGGTGGCCACTTCTGGGTGAGTAAAGGTGCAGCGCGGAACTGCCTGGGTGGAAGGCTTCGGAATTGCTCCCCGGCCCACAATCGTGAAAGCCGAAGCAAAGTCAGCGGTCACATAGTACTGACTTCTTGTACCCACAAGTATAGAATTTCAGCTGTGAGTCAAACAGGCCAGTCACATACAGGTAGAAGCTGACAAGTAGCAAATATTAGGTATCGGACGGTGTTGGCATATGCTTCGCATGTCCTGAGCCTCAATATAGCATTTTGAAAACTATACCGGGAGACTGCGCCTACATGTAGCTAGCACCACGGTAAACCATGCAGCCAGGCCGTTTTCAAAACTTCCTCCGGCCGCACACATACCTGGAGCCGAAGATCCCAGCATAGAGTGGTTTCAGATTTCCGAAGGTACACAAATACCCGCAATACCTCGAAGTAGCTGTGGGAAGCTCTTTAAGCCCTCGCCCTACCACTGATCTCGCCTCGCAGGCATCGTACACTTGGCTTCTTTACATCTGCAGCCGGTGGCACCGGGTTTCCAGGCCCTGCCAGCGAGATTGGCTGCACGGCGTTGAAGGCCGCCAGAGCACCCTGCAACCGTTCTGCAACTTATAAGCAAGAGGACTGCTTGGACCTTGGCCGCTGCGGTCCTGGGTCCTGTATAGCCATACGTCGTGATCTGCGCGTGCGATGGTAAGCCGTCATATGCTGTGGCCGTGTTCCAACATCAATTCCTCGCGCCTGGTAGCCGGCCAGATGGGTGAACTGAAGGCCACCCAGGCAGTCTCCAACCTTTTGTTTAGCTGAGACCAGCACCAAATACAAGACATATGATGACATATGGCCTTCAGGATGTGCCGGGAAGCGTAGTGAACCCCAAGTTTTGACGTCCTCCGGCCAATCAAGGTTGCGCGATGCCTGGGGATTGAAACCCTGAAATGCCGGCAGGTAGCTGCATAAATGTGCTTCGCAGACGTCCGAAGCTTCGCCTTACATGCAGCACAAGAGGCACAAACTATGCATTAATTGGATGTCTTGAAGCGCATATTGGCAAAAGAAATACTGCTGGGAGCTGAGGAGCTTATGACAAACATACACATCGCAGTGACATGTTGCACGCTTCAAGGATTCTTTCTGTCCCACGCAGACGAACAAGAGACACTCTGGCAAACAGACCAAAAACCTCCACCTCCATACACACGCACACACAAAGTCACGCACAAGACAAACAAACAAGCAAGCAAGTAAGCGCATGCAAGCTTAGAAGCAAGCATCGCAGAGCTGCATTCTTGCTGCCGGCGTGCATCCACGGAAATCCCGTTTTGGGTCCATTTTACGCCTGGCACGGAACTACTCTACTATATGATCTATAAACTATAGAAAACACTTATTTTGGCTCCCACTTGGCAAAAACACTCATATTGAAATAAATAAGTAAATAAATAAATAAATAAATAAATATATATATATATATAAATGCTAATATATGAATGCTAAACGCTAGCAGCCGTCAGCATGTTTCCAACCCCTCCCCGCAGCACACGAACTGAAGAGGCCCTGACCCCCAATCCAAACGCATGCTTGATGATCTAAGGACACTGACCCTGCTAAAATATGAAACCCTTCTGTAGGTGGCTTCAAGCCTGCACATGCACCCATCTGCCTGGTTCGCCGACAACGGACAACACAAATATCACACACAGCACCACGACATAGTCATGCACTGTGATCTAAACTAGACAGCTAGACTCCTTTCCACAAGTCCTGCTTGCGTGGGCCTGCACGGTCCAAGCTCATGGCATCGAGACCTTCCGACGGTCCAGAGGCCCTCTAGGGGCGCATGTGCAGATACACGTGCAATAAGGCATCCACATGTATGCGAACATACGTGCCCATCCTCTGACCTTTTGTTATCTACTGCGAGGACAGGATTTCAAGCCAAGAAAAGGAAAGATCATGTAAGCTGCAAGGCTTTTTGTAGGGTTCCTGCCATGTGAGAAGCAGGACGTGTCGTAGTTGAGAACTACTCGGCATGTCCTCCAATGTCCAAAAAGCCCGGGGTCACATCTGATGCGCTCAACATTAAACTGGCTATGCAATGCTGTTCCATACTCCCAGCCCCCTAGCCGGACTCCACTGAAGACAATAAACATCCGGTGTACCACATTGGAAAGCATGCGGATTCACCCGACCGGGATCATCCGGGATATTTGGGCACAAACTTACAGTTTGGGGCTGAGCACAGGCGCATACAGACCCGATATTCAAGTGCTTGACGCTCAGAACTCAAAAGCCGCTGATACAGTGCTGACGCTGTTGAAGCTGGGGAGCCGTGACAGACTCTTCCTCACATCTGTTCGTGCCTTCATGTCCAAACCTTATCAAATCTTCACGTCTTCGACCTGTGTACCTTGACCTCCCCATGCAACAAACTTCAAGCCTAGACCCGAAACCCGACTGTACGCTTCCTATGATCAAAGAAGATTCAGCGAGTCTCAGGGGCCTTTGGGCCTGCGGCCCGCTGCCAGTAGGAGTCCGGCACAGGTCCTCGGAGTAGGGGCTCCAGGTTGAGGGTTATAGCAACATAACAACTACCAACCCGCTAGTGGAGCTCCGAACAATGCTGAAAGTCATGGGGCCACCAGTTGTTTGCGGCGGATCTGGAGGGTGTACCAACCACGAACGGGCGAGAGAACCCCATTTTTGCGGCGGATCTGTGACTTAGATAAGAATCGGCCAAGATGTACACTTCATGTGATAGCTCACAAGGAAGAACCCAAAATTCACAACAGAAGCGAACTGAGAACTAGACTAGGCTTCTCACTGAATGGCTATACTTCCAATCCTCACCCATTACCTGTACTGGATTGGCTGGATTCCAAGGGGCAAGGATCTACCGCCAGCACGAAGGACGATGCCTGGAGATTGAAATCAAAAGTGAAATTGGCTTCCAATGAACCTTGGGAGACCACTTCAGATAAATATTTTGGTCCTCCTGCCCATCGACTGTCACAACTGCAATCACAATGACAACGGTAGTGACGGTAGTAGTGCTGACAAGAACTACAAATCCATGGCAAGAGAGTAAGGCGATAACGCACTCAGTTGCAATGACAACAGAAACATTAGTTCAGTAACGGAAATCCCTTGCAAGTAATTCCTTCGGAGCCGTTGGCGTCCTTGCAAAGCTGAGTTTGCGAGTACTGTCACCGTACTGCACAATTGACATGAACTTGCTTGAACAACGCGCCGTGCTTTCGTCACTTCGCAACAGACTTTTCAACATCTCCAGGCTAAAACATTAAACTCTCGACCAAAACCTCTCCGTGCTTACTCTCGTCGTCCCTAACTTCATCAAGTCGCCGCCAGCGGTTGGCTCCACCGACTCTGCCCGACCCTCGACTACCACGATACCGTCCTTGCCACAAGAAGCGCGACATGAATCGGGGGACTCGGGTCTATCCTCCAAAAAAGGAAGATGGGAACATAAGCATGTAGCCTTGCAAGCTTGGGTGTTTTCGGGGGAAAACATTCCGCCGAAACTTGAGTGAGTTTGTCGATCAACTCCGTCAAATCCACCCAGCCAGACTCATAGCCAAAGCTAGCTTGACCCAAAGTCCTTTTCGAAGACCTGCGACATGACGTGGCGCCTGGATTCAGGCGGCGGCACAACAACCAAACCAGCTCGGAAGACGCAGGCGGTCCAAATTTGGCACGGCCGGCACTCAAGGGGAAAGGCTTCAAGCAAAAAACGCTCACCGAGTTCTGACTTGTGCTCGCTGCAGTGCTCAGGTCTGCACACATCATCATCTTCGCGCGGCATCATCTTGCCCACCAGCGTCACCTGCAAGGGGACAGAGCCATTTGGGCATTTTTCACCTCGAAACCCTTTCACTGTGGACGACCTGCAGGATTCAAGCATAGATCCTGGCTCTGGCGAGTCTGTTGTTTTTTGCCGGATTGTCGCAGATTCTACCGTTGCCACAACTTCCTAAACCATCAGCCCCAAGCCACGGTAGTACCTACCCATAGGCCCTAAAGTAGTTCCTTTTTGGGGTTCAAAAATAGAATCCTATAAGGTAACCCCAAAAAGGAACTACTATGGGGCTTATGGGTATAAGCCTCATAAGCCCTGAGCAGAGGATGCCTTGCACCCCAACCGGGCAAAAGCCTGAGCAAGCTCGCTGCCGATTGGGCCTCAACTGGAGAGCTGCTGGGAGGCTCACGGTTTAGGGCTCAGGGCTTTTAGGGTTTTTAGGGTTTAGGGTTTTAGAGTTCGGGGTTTAGGGTCAAGCTTCGTCTCAAACACTTCATTGCTCTCTTTATCGGTCTACACACACACACACCGATCGATTTATGTGTGCCACATGTGGGTATACATACACTTGAGAGTACGCACATTGGTGTGTGTGTGGAAAATAGACATCTGCATATCATACCCTGGTGCATATGGAGCCCTGATAGATAAAGTGACAGTCTATGCTGGCTGCACACATACATGTCGTTCCTCTTTAGTTGCAAAAGGATCGCACGTATTTCGCCAGGGAAGTATTGACACACCAAGTAAATCGCAACACTTCGAACTCCGTGACATTGTAGCGGCTGGCCTCCTCCGATTACCGCCAGGCTCGATGGAAACTCCGGCAAATCGAAGATCGTCTCCTCAAGCCAGAAAGCGCGTCCGCAAGCTAGGCTCTTGTACTTTCGCGCAGGCTAGGTACGGCATTCAGCGGGTCAAGCACAGGCACGTGAAGTGGCACCAACACACACTGCGCAGCAGCATGCTTCTGCCTTGATCACATGCTTTGGGGAGTCTCAAGATGTCTCAAGTGCAGGATCACCCTGCTCAGAGTCGCAGGCACGGCATACCATCTATGCTACAGGCTAGCAGCGTCCTTTCTTAAGAACCCCAGGATCAAAGCCACAGCACATGGCCGAGCAGCGTATGTGGCATACTTCACAGCTTCGAGGCCCTTGAGAGGTGGTATCACCTGCAAGTCTCTGAACACATTTGGTTAACGAGAGGCTGTAGGACAAGCCGTGGTTGGCCCGCGGATCACGGACAAAGGTCACCGATGCATAGCCAAGTGTTCTCCCACGGGATATACTTCCGTCCGCACGGAAATCTGGTTGGACACAACGAATCTTCCAGCGACCATCTGGTACGGCTGGGACATTTGCAGGGTTCCACTGCCAAGCCATCCCGATCAAAGCCCTATTCCCCAGTATGAAGCTGCATGTGCCAAACAGAAATGCTCCCCTCGATGGGTCGCAGCTTTCCCTATATCAGCCGTGTTGCTGGGCCCGCACCTGTGGCGATGATGAAGTGGTTGGCAGTAACGAGCTCCGTTCCTTGTGTCGGATGGACTTCAGAAACTGACGGTTGTAAGCCCGACAGAGCTCAATGGATTCGGAGCTGGCTCGATGCCATTCTGTCGGAATTAGCAGCTCCTCCTGTAAACAAAACATGCAGAAACTAGCCAAACCACATCACCCTATCGGGAATGCTTCCTTTGCTCAACTCGTCGTCGACCTAAACCCTTATAACCACCAGTCCTCAACTGGGTTCCGCGCCTCCAGGAGTCGTGTTTTCCACCGTCGCCAACTGCAGCGTCTTCGCATCCACAAAGGAAGCCTTGGCTACGTAGCTCAAGCACAAACCGGCTGAGGCCAGCTTGAAGGTTGCGACTCTCTCTCACACACACGCACTAGCACACCACAGGCAAGTCTCCACAATCCAGGATGACAAAAGTGGCAGCCGAGCTGACCCAAACAGTTTGGAGGTTTGGGGTTTGAGCTTAATGGGGCTTTGGGCTTGGAAGTTGAGGCACTGCATGCATGCATGCATGAATCATCTACACGTGCTTACTTAAGACGCACACACATGTATCTTTCGGTCTATCTACCTATCTACCTATCTACCTATCTATCTATCTATCTATCTATCTATCTATCTATCTATCTAGTCTAACTATCTATCTATCTATGTGTCTATCTATCTATCTGTCTATATAATATGCTTATTTAATTATTTGCTTTATACCGTCTCATCATACGAAAGATGATTAGTTCATCAACTGTAGTAGGAATAAGAAGCATGCGTAATGACACTGTTACTAGTAATGAGCCATATTTGTATCTGTAATAGAATCGGCACTGCAGCACCAACAACAGCCAATAACAATAAGAATAATAAGGGCCATGCTAAAAGTGTTGCTATTGATGATCTCTCGAGACTGATAACCAATAGACAGCACTGATATGCAGCAATGTTATCATGTCTTAACAACCATGATAGTTCTGACAATGACGATCAACTTTTCCTGGGGCAAAGAAATTCCTGGAACTTCAAGCCGAGTGAAGGCAAGGACGTTCCGCGCTCATGTTGCAGAGTACAGGGTGATACCCTGAACCCAAAGCCCTGGGGTTTAGGGTTCCCTAAACCCTAAACCCCTATAGACTCCAAACCTCTGTCGCCAAGGAAGCATGAACGCCCAGGCGTACTTCCACACCAGCAGCTTCCAGAATTTCGGGGCTGTCGTCCTGGCTTCATGGCAAAGAGTTCCTGGAAGAGGGCTCGTGTAAGGGCCCCTGTAGCCATAAACTGTATGCTTGGGCCTTGCTATGTAGGTACGTGCGGTACTTGGGTCCAAAGTTATATGCCCACCCGGGCCCAGACGGCTCGAGGTTGGCAAGTTTTGGGAGTGGGAGACAGCATGATTGGCGGATCGCTGCGTCTTGATGCTGCCCTACCCTACCAGCTTTAGATTCGTGTAATCGGCAAGCAAACACAGACGAACCATCCAGCTTGCTACTGCATCACGCCCATGACCCATACCCCGAAACCACAAGTGCTAAGACCGAGGATGATGAGCCAAGCCAAGAAGGAGCGCCTGATTGTAGATGTGCTCCTGGCCTGACAGGATAACTACCCCAAGCCCTAAACTCGTTAAGCTATAGATTCAAGGATCCGGAAAAATGTCGGAAAGGACCAGTCTAGCACAAAGGACACAATTGACTTACAATCTAGGAGGACCCTTGCAGATTCGTGGGCACACGTCCGCACTTACATCTGCATGCCGAGATTTCGAAATATATATCATGATGAGTACAGTGATCACTAGGTACCTGTGCTAGAAAGATGAGCAGAGAAATTCTGACAAGAGTACTCATGTTCTTTTCGATGCAAATACAGTCGCAGGACGGGAAAAGATAGCGTCCAGGATTCGAACCCGATAAATTCAGATGCACAGTTCGGGCTGCTGGCATCAGATTTGGGATGGGGGTCGCAGCTAAGCGGTAGAGGCCCTCAGCTTTGATGAGAAAGACGAACAATAACAAGGAGCATATTATAATAGTACTGATAATCAGGTACCGGAAAGGCCTGATTTAGTAATTTCGCGAGTGCTGGACCGTTCACAGAAACTCTGTCCAAGAGCTGCTTGCGACTCTACACCTCCTGAAGCCATGCTTCAGCCGTGCCGTGCCTAACCCCTAAACCCTAACTTTAAATCCTAAGTTCCAAGCCTTAAAATCCTAACCCTAAGTATTGAAGCCGCAAACTTTGAAGCCGAGATGCAGGACTTCACATGATTTTTCACTTTCCTCAGTCGTCGTGAAAGGTTTGGGGGGTCTACTATTAGGTATAGTCTAGGCATAACCAGGAACCCGGTCGGCCTCCTTTCTTTTGTTAAAGTTACGCTACAGAATCTGATCCCGACTGCGTGAGGTGGACAGATTTTTGCTGAGGTCATCATTTATTAATTTTGCGGAGGGCCCAGTAGTGAAGGGAGGCGAACATCTGGGAAACAAACGGTTGTCACGGCTGCTTCCAGATATTTCTGCAAGGGCATCATGGGGAAGCGTCGGGAGGGTAGAGACGTTATAGACATCATGACAAAAAGCAAGGGAGCCAAACTTTCAAACTTGTACTGTAATATAACAGCTAGATAATCAAGATAGAAAACAGAACTTGTACTCGGTGGTTAATAAGACGCGATATACTACAGCAACTATACAACACATATGGTACAACATGGTATGTTAAACTAGGATGTAGACTATTCGAAACATGCGGTGCGCAATCTTTAATACATGGTACAGTAAGAGAAGGATGTAACGTGCATGGTGTGAACCATAGCGGCATCTAGTATATTATACACGGTGTGTAGCAGATAATAAAGCAACCTATGTTACATAAAATATAATGCCCATACAAACAATTTAACGCACATCTCTCACGCATCACTTAAACGGGGTGCGTCGGGTCTAGGCTCTGGAAGCTTCAAGTGTCCGGCGATGCCCAGGGCCTCCTGGGATTTTTCAGAGGCGATCTGTGGCCCTGTTTGTTCTTCATGTTGGCTTCCTGTGCTTCAGCATGGGCATATGATACCCGAAGCCGGGAATGTGACGAAACCAGTGCATTTGGAACCTTCACCTCAGCTGTATTTTGTCAGAAGTTTTGGAACAACACGAAACGCGACATGGCACCTTCGCCTCGCAGCTGGTGCAAAGCACCCAGGTTTCAAAAGCTGACCCACATATTGAAACTACACGAACCTGCTGCTGACAATGAAGCAGCAGATCCTGACAGCACTCTAGACTTTGAGATGAGCATCTGCCAGTCGCACGTCAGCGATTCCGCGTTGAGCCCTCGGTTTGCATCTTCAGGCTCCAGGAGTTTAGAGGGTGTGTAACTGTCTGGAGGGCATGTAAACTGTCCATGAAGAACATCTCGACAGTGAGGGAGAGCATAGTAGGCCAATTTCCTCCACTAGCCAATCAGCTGGTTACACTTATGGAAGGAGCGTCTGCGCTACGCAGGTCAGGGCTTAACTTGTGGCCCACCTGCCACGCCGAATCGAGCACCGTGTCGAGCTTCGTGCATCGCGTGCGCACAGCGGATGAGGGCCTCAACTTGCATGTTGGGTTCCTGCAGCACCATCTCTGAAAAGGGAACCTCGGGCGCTGCTAGAAGGGATGATATTCCAGTCAGTATCGCAAGAATCCGCAAGACGACAGCGCCCGACAAATCTGGGTTTATAGGGTTTAGGCTGGCAGTGTGCCTAACTTGGAACAGGAGCGACACTTCGAGATTACTGAAGTCCATGATCTAAGTCTAAAGGCCTTGGAGACCTGCAGCCTTAAACCTTGCACAGCACACCCGCCATAGGGATTGATCCAAGCTCCAGGGCCTTCGAGGGAACACAGCCATACCTGGCAAAAAGGGGCTTCCTTCACGCTGCGGAGCTTTCTCTGTGCTCCGATAAATTTCGGGTTTAGGATGGTAAGAAAAAAGTCATACCGACTCATGCCCAAAGTAATCGCAGCCGTACTTGTAACTATCGAACCTCCCAGTTGCAGTAAGGGCTTCGACTTCAGGTGTTGAATCTACTTCCTAGCCTGAGTTTTTTTCAGTCTGTAGGCTTGGGATTTCGATTTAGCTGGATGTTTTGGGGAGGGGGGATGAAGTTGTCTTGTCGGCTGCCTGCTCAGTTGGCCCATGTTGTAGGCTTTAGGGGCTTTCTTTTCGCGTGATATTTGTTGGAGAACTCTCGGAGAGGTCGCCAGACCCCCACTACTAACCCCAAACACATCACCAAAAAACACAACCCCACAGCAAATGATGGCAGTTCGTATGAGGATGTCCATACTCACAACAGTGGCAACATGCGACACTCGGCACTGCATCAGGAATCGTGAATACCATATAAGTCATCATATGAAAACGAGCAGACACAAGATCTGATACTGTATTTACAGTCTTTGCGCCTCTGAAAAATCAAGAGCACTGTTCACTATTCCCTTGCTTTGTTGGTATCATATGACATATATTGTATAACGAGAGAGGTTTCTAACCATGAAGGCACCTACATTACAACAGTCTTCTCTTCCGCCGGGTCGCCAGGTGCAATCGCCGCCCAAACGGGGCAGACGCTCCACCAGCAAAGTTCGTGCGCCGAAACGGGCCTGGGATGGTTGAAGGTCATGCGAGGACTTTGGGTTTCAGGTTTAAGGCTCAGCATTTAGGATGTAGGATTAACACACAACAACTATGGCAACAACAATCACTGCAGCGTACTCCCAGTAGAAAACGAATGCGACCATGAATCCCAAAAACAATAACATCGGTGCTAAAAACCGAAGTGCCCCAAACATTTGCAATAGCACTAAGCGTGGTGATACGCAATAGGCCGCGAGCGGGTGCCAATGTCGAGAGACTACGACAGGAAGAGGAGTTACTGCTAAGAACAATAATCATGATATGTCATGACAACTGGAAACAGCGCAGCCCAGCAACAAGAATATACCATTTCTGATGGTTTCGGGCCAGGCGTACGTCTTGAGACCCCTCAGGAGCCCTCAGAAGATTACCGCACGAATTGTCATCGGATTCTTTGCAGAAGCTAGACTTGAACAGCTGCCCGTTGCTGGCGGCAAAAGGTTTCCTGGCCACCTGCAGAAGCTGCTAGATGATACTCATGACAACGATGCGATACGAAGAAGGAACCTGGATGAACTACAGTAACTACATGGCTCTGACTTCCGATGTTCCTTCGTAAAGGCGGTGCCCCAGGAACTTCAGCCTTCAACGCCCTGGCCGAAGCGTGAGCTCAACCCAGCTTAATCCACAGGTTGTTATGCAGGCAAACGTTTCAGTAGCATGTGGCTTATCCCACAGAAGGTGTTGTACAGTTCCTAGTTTTCAACTTATGTGCCTCACTGCGGCGGCAAGCTGATCTTGCATTGTGGTATTGCTGGGTTTCGACATGGTCCCTTCAACCAGTCCCGCCAGATGAGTTAGAGCATGCTGCTGCTCCTTTGTCCTGACACCCGTTGGACCCGCATCCCACAATTCGAGGACCCGAGCTTTTTGGTTTCTCTGAACCTAAGCCACAGAAGCTGTTGCTGCCACAGCCACTGCTGTGCGGGCGGCGGTGAGGCCACCGGAGCCCGCGCCGATCACTACGGCATCATAATGGCCCGCCTTGCAGTGGACAAGTTTTAAATCAAGTATGTAAAGTGCGTGGGCCAGTAGGTAAGATAAAGTCAGTGTAGGCCGACAGGCACAGATGGGTGACCAGCACATGGTTGGATGGAGGCAAAGGGTACAAACATGTATCCGCACATGTGCATGCACATACACACATATACATGTATACAATGCACTTACTCGAACTGTTTTTGAGAGTGCTTAAAGACTATTACTATGACCATCTCTGTATGAACACAAAGAAGTGCGAAACATGAGTATGTTGAATCGAGACCACGCAGCACTTCTTGAATGCATAAACGAACAATATGCATGCGTGCAAGCATGTATATGTAATCCATATTGCCTGCAGGAAAGCACCGCTCTCTCTATCTCTCTCTATCACTCTCACCCTCTTTCTCTCTTGCTATCTCTCTCTCTCTCTCCCTCCCTCTCTTTGTCAATGTGTCAGTGTGGCATGACACATTGTGTGCAAAGAAGTCTGTGTGGATGTACCGGCAGGTAACTGCGTCCTTTTCACAAAGCTCCGGTGTCGCTCCATCGTCTTTGTAATCCCTCTGAGCAGCCGAGCTATGTGCATCGAACTCCGCATGACAGGAATAGCCCCTGCACGACGGTGCTTCAAAAGCAGAATCATTTTGTGGCAAATCGGGCCTACAAGGGAGATCAGCGCCAAGCAAAGATCTCCTACATGTTGTTACTATTGACCCCCACAAAAGCCGTGTCACTACAATCAGAGGGGAGTACCGCTCGCTTTTGTCACCATCTAGCACGATCATGCGAGCTCTTCCTGCATCTGCTGCTTGAAGGAATTTCCGTTGAGTCTCTTGCAATTCTCACACCTTACACCCTGACACTCTGCAGTAGCACTGTAGTACAGGTACGCATGTGGAATGAGGTAGATTGGCCGAAGACAAAGGCTCAGCCGCTGATCCCCCAAATCATGGCTCTACTATTTGAATCGACCATATAGGGACCTGAACCATGACAATCTGGTTCCTCTAAGGGTTCTGTGAAAATTGAAAGGGTTCTTTAAGGGTTGTATGATGAACGGGCCTTAGTAACTAGACTAGTGCTTTGGGGTAACGGTACTAAAGAACCCTAAGGCGTAGCATAGGTACTAATTCAGGCCCCTATGTTGCTGAAAAGCTCTGTACATCCAGACAGGCAGCTCACGGAGTGTGTCTCGCTATTTGCAGGTTCAGGGTGTAGAAACAGAAAGTATGTGCACTCGAAACACACGTATGAGAGCGTCTTAAAATACCTTGCAGTGGATGCCAGGATATGCCAGGAAGTACACTACAATCAAACGATAAGCAAGCTCGTGACGTTTTTGCGCCATAAGCTTCCCATAGAGAACGACAACGTCTGAGCCTGTTACACTAGTCTTGAGAACGATATTCTCGGAGGTAGCGGGTGCCCTCGCCGGGGTTCCTTCTTTAAGCTTCCACGTACTCTTAAAGCAGTCCTGTTACTTTGCGCATGTATGTTCAGGACTTCCTGTGGAGCCTCCGGGTTTCCACGAATAGCCGACGATTTATGAGTGCACCGGAGTCTAAGACTCTAGGCTTTAGGATTTCAGGCTGAAGTGGCTTGAGACTTGGGTTTAGATTCACGAGGTCCGATTTCAGGCTTGGCGTGCAAAACTGTTGTTTTGAAAGATCTCCTCTCGCATGGCTAGGAGGCATGTTCACATGCGAGGCTACAGCGAATTCCTTAAGAATGAAAGGGTCCAATGTACTTCAGTTCGTGAATCGGAATTTAGGCATTGTGTGCGAAACTGGTGCTCTGCCCAGGCCTCGGATCTTGACAGCCGTTTCACGGCAAGCGGGGCCGGCGAATCGAAAAACAGAGTCGAGGGAAAATGTCCAAGAGCTGCCAGTCATCAACCACAGCATTTGACATGGTAATCGCATGAGAAGCAACATGGACATAATCACAACACCTCAGGCCATGATATTACGAAGGTCAACAGTCACAACAACAGGCGCACCACCAGGCACGCTTCGACTGCGATTGTAAAAGCCCATGGCTTCGGAAGTTAGTTTCAAGCCCATGGCTTCAGGAAACGGGAGACTCTGCAACAAAAGATCGTGAGTTGGGCAGCAAAATCGTTTTTCATCAGAAGCTTTGCATCTGAGCTATCTGACAAGTTGGATCCTTTGAGCAGAGCTGGAAAATCCTCAAAGGCCATGCTCACTTGAGACTACAGATGCCATCGAGCGCTGCTTCTGCGTTTAGGCCACGGGGGACTGCTCGAAGTGTTCGGAGTGGTGACCATCGAAGGTGAAGGAGGCGGTGGCGAGGGCTTTCGGCCACCAGTCACCGTGTCCAACGTTATGGACACCCTGGGCGAATCAGTCTCCTATTTCAGACAAACCTGCAATTGTACCAATTGCGGTTGTAGACGAACCGTCTTCAAATTGTTGTGTGTATCTCCGACGATTCTTATGGTTCTTCTTGTTATTACCGCGGCCAACCGTGACTGACGTTCTCACGTGTTTCGCTATACAGGATACCATATTCGAAGAGCATTAGGGTCAGCATGGCCATACGCAGAAAGCATGTCAAGATAGAAATACTTAGATCCCCAACCGATTCTGTCTACATGCTACGATGATGAGTTACGGGCACCTCTGGACAATTGCCAAGCCGCTCAGGCGACGAGTGACTGTGGCTAGCGCCGGATCTTGTGCGCCTTAGCGGCTTCCGGTCCATCTCGACCACCGCATCGAGAGGCTCTGCAATCCTGGAGGGCGCGTTTCGATTCTTACGCAACTTCTTGAGGATTGGTCTCCTGAAGACTACTGTGCTGACACGGAAGGGCTGTGATGCGAAAGCTGGTATCGGACTGGAGCACAGTTGACAGCTGAGGGACGGAAACACGGTTTCAG